CAATTAACTACAAATTATTTTTCAAATTTAGTTAGGCTGCATGAAGATAAAACTTTTGATTTTTTTAATAATCATAGTCTAAAATTAGATTAAAGTACAAAAGATTATATGAAAAAAGGTTCTAATTTAACTTTAATAAAAAGTTTATTCTAATTCAAACTAGTGATGGCAGATTCTATCATATAATTCAAAAAATATATTAATTTTAAGCCATTTTATTTCAATCTGAAACTTGTAAATCTATTCCAATAATAATATTCTATAAAACTTATTAAAAAATAAAAAATAAACTAAAAATAAAAAAAAAAAAACACACTTGAGAAAAAAGAAATATAGAACTTATTAAAAAAATAAGGTATCAACTACAAATAGTAAAAAGACCAATTAAAAATTATTAAGCCAAGTATATCTAGTAAGGATTTATAAGATTAAATCAAAATTCAAACAAGAATATCAATTTTACAGGTAGTAAAAATGATAGTATTGTATTATGCTAATGATATATTCTAAGAATTGATGAAAATAATAATTGAAATATTGAAATTAATTTCTATAATAATATTTTATAAGATACCTCTTTCATAACAAATACAGTTAAAACTGGACCTAGTAGGTTAGGTGGCTTAAACTAGTGATAGTATTTCCATTCCCTATGTAAGTTCCATCTGACATATGAACTATCTACTTGATATTTAAAATTTCATATAGCTGGATATGTTGAAGTTATATAATAAGTAAATCATATTAGCTAGTAATGTAACATTAACTCCCACCAAAATACTGGTAAAGTGGGATGTTTAATGTAATAATAATAAAATGTTTCACATCTAATGCCTGTTTACAACTAAATAATAATAATAATAATAATAAAAGCAAAAAACAATTTTAAAAGATTTTAAAAAGAATGAAATAATTATTTAAATAAAAAAAATTTAGTACCTGCTTGAAATTTCAATATTTGGATCGGCATCCAGTAATATTATCAATTCGGTAGATAAGGTAATTGAGAATTTAATAATGTCTTACTAATTTACATAATTATTTTACAGTAATTTATGCCAAGTAAAAATTCAATTAGTATCTTGATTTTTGGAAAGATCTTCCGATATTTTTTCCGTTCTTATATCTCTCCATTTGAAGCTTAAAATCGAAGTGCTGTTTTATATAATTACTCAGTAAATCTTGTATCATCAACAATTTTCTGTCCAGTACCCAATAATTATTTTGCCCTTACATCATGTCTCGCAAATCCCGTGGTAGAAGAGGCTCTTCAGACGAAGAGAATCGTATCGACGAAACTGACGGAGGTTGGATTGATGATCAAGATTTAGACCAGGAAACGGAGGAGAATTATGTTGATTCGGAGGAGGAAGAAGAGAGAGAAGAGGAGGAAGAAGACGAAGAAGACGAAGAAGAGGAACCAGTAAGATTAACGGGTTATGCTAATCTGCATCGCGTGCTTTTTACATAATGCCTTCTTTAAACAAGCTATTCCGATAATATAATTTAGCGTGGAAAAAAACAAAAGCGTCGTAAGGATGACCCCAAAAACAAATTCCTCTTACTAGAAGCCGAAGTCGATGATGAAGAGGAAGAGGAAGAAGACGAAGAGGATATGTTCATTACTCAACGTAACATAGATTCTTTATTCTTTATGGATTTGATAGTTCGCAATCAAGACCTTTTATATATGGTTTCATGAATTTCTGAATAGAATTTATTGATAATCGGGATGAACTTGAGGCTGAAGCAAGGGTGTCATCTAGGGATACAAGAAGAGTTGCAATGGAACTCGATCGTAGAGATATAGAGGAAGAGAACCTTCGTGCAGAAGAAATAGCTTTACAGATGAATGAACGTTATGGACGACGTCGTGGTCAGCTGAGTCAAATTGACTCTAGTATACCAGCTCAGTTAATTGCTGGTGTAAATCAACCGAATCTATTTGTTATTCGTTGCAAGGTGAACGCACGTTTCTTTTTTACTCTTGAAAAAGGTCCATTTATTGTGATCTCATAATAATTTAATTTAAAAAAAGCAAGGGAAAGAAAAAGATGTGGTTCTTCAGTTTATGAAACAGTTTAAAGAAAGCGAATATTCTCAACATCCTATCGAGATCTTATCTGCAACATGCCGAGATGCACTCAAAGGATATGTATACGTTGAAGCTTGGAAATTAGCGCACGTGCAGAAGGTATATTTCATTATTAGAATGAATTTATTAATCGTTCCTTATTAATTGATCTGATAATTAATAGGCAATTTTGAATATGAATAACTTATTTAATTCACAAATAAAACTCGTGCCATTAGCGGAAAGAGATCATGTATTAACCATAAGAAAGAAAGATATATCTCTCAAGGAAGGATCGTGGGCTAAGGTCAAGAAAGGAAAATATGCGGGAGACCTCGTCCAGGTATTATTGAATTCTTAATAGAGTAAGTATAATTCGGATGTCTAAAATATATATGATTTCCGTCCGGCTAGATCTCTTGGGTATATGGTGAAAATCCGAATGAAGTAAGAATCAGGTGTGTCCCACGCATAGAAGAAAGCGAAACCGGTTCGAATAAGCGAAAGAAGAAGCCTACCGTGAAAGATTTTGATAATGGATACATAGAAAGAGATATGAAAATCACAAATTTGGTAATAATTTATTTAAGTATAATTCCTTTCTTCTTGAAAATATATATTTAAAACATTTAAATTTCAGATATTGGAAAATGTTAGTCCAACCATGGATGAAATCACTGAATATCTCTCGGCAGCTGATTCGAACTGTACTTATTTTGCCCCTCTGGTCGTTACTTAGTTTGATCCTGGTCATTAATCTCTTTATTAAATTTTACATAGCAAGAAGTTCCGATGCACCACTTGCCCTACCTACAAAGATTATTTTTACCCCTGGTGATGAGGTTGAGGTTATTAGTGGTAGTGATCGTGGAGTTTATGGTGTCGTAGAAGCTGTGAATAAAGATTATGTTACATTTACTCGATATAAATCGGGTGTTGCACAACAAGTGACGTTTCTGGCAGAGCATTTAGCCAAAAGGTTTGGTATAGGAGATCATGTTCAGGTACTCAACGGATCTCATAAAGGCGAGACTGGAATGATCGTAAACATTGATAATGTTAGAAATCATGTTACCTTGTGGTCTGACCTGACAAAATCAGAGGTAGGTTTGCGTTTTTCCAATTAATGATATACGGAAAGCAATATTTATCTTTATTTTTTTTTTAATTACAGATAAAAGTATTTTCAAAAGATCTAAAAAAGATAACAGAGTCAACTGGTGTTAGGCTATCTGGATCAGACTATGAAGTTCAAGATCTCGTTCAGACATCATCGTTAGTATTAAATATTATATTGATTATAAGCCTTTTTTGGCTTTTGACTCATCTAAGAACGAATGCCTTATATATACAATGCATTATTAAGTGGTCAATATGGTGTAATAGTAAATGTCGATCGATCTAAATACACTATTCTGGAAACGAATGGAAGCACTTCGACTTATACACGAGATGAAATTGTTAAGAAAGAAGATACACGTCGGTTTAGTTCGGCGATTGGTCAAAATCAAATACTCTTAAAAACTGGTGATACGGTTACTGATGTATCCGCCGAAGTAAGTTATAAACATTATTAAATTAATTAAATGTATTTCGAATTAATTTGTGGATTATTATTCTTATTATGTAGGGTCGAGAAGGAAAAATATTACATCTGTTCCGTAAGTTCGCTTTTATCATGAATCGTGGTGGATTCGTAGAAAACGGTGGTATTTTCGTCTCGGAGTGTTCAAATTTGACAAATAAAAACACTAGACCTGTAAATATTAATCCAGTAATTATGATGACGTAGTTTGAACCTTCTTTAAGATTTTATTTTTTGCACTTATTAGGTGGGTCTTGCCCTCGACAAACTTAATCCCGAAGTACTAGCATCTATGCCCTCACAACCTCCACAATCTTTTAGTCGTCCGTCATATAATTACGGTGGTCGTGGCGGTTACGGTGGCCGTGGTCGTGGTCGCGGTCGAGGTGGTTTTAAAAATAATCGAAGTAACGTTGATCCCTTGATTGGGCAAACCGTTACCATTACGAAGGGACCTTACAAAGGGTACCTGGGAATAGTGAAAGATACTACTCCTGTAATGGCACGAGTAGAATTACATACAAATTGTAGCATTGTGAATGTTGAAAAGACAAAATTACTGAATGTCGAGTAAGTAGTTAATTACCTTTGTTAAACAATTTTAGGCATTTATTTAACTTTATATATCTCTTCATTTAATAGCACAAGTCGACCGGTTGTATTACCAGAACCTACTACGAGTAGAAATACCAGAGAATACAGTCCGGCACCTTCAAATTACTCTGGTTCAAGCTGGCAGTCAAGTAGCGTTAGAACTCCTAATTCATGGAATGGTTCTCGCACCCCATCAACATGGAACAACCCTATGCCAAACCAGATGGCTTCAGACGGTACACGTACTCCATCACATGCAGACGGATCAAGAACACCTGCTGTTCATTTGAATGATGGTTCTAGGACACCCGCTTGGGATCTCGGCAGTAAGACTCCCGCCTACGCCGGGTCTGATGGCTCAAGGACACCTGCATGGGATACGGGAAGTAGGACCCCTGCGTATGTAGCGGATAATCGGGGACGAACTTCGGCATGGGAGGCAAACTATCCTGCTACACCAGCAAACGATAATCAAAGCTTTACTGCACCAACACCCGGGGCTGAAACCCCAGCGTGCACTGCACCGACACCTGGTGCTTCAGAAACTCCACTTTATTCTATAGCAACTCCCGGAAATATGATACCTGCCACTCCTGGACCTGGGCCCATGACACCAGCTAATTTATTGCCTCAGACACCATTTGTATCATCAGGTACAATTCCTACAGGTGGCGATTTTAGGAACGTTAGGCAAGAAGGTAGGACATCTTATGTAATGCTTTCTATTACTATATGATATTAATAATCACCATAATAATAATTGTTATTATGTTAGCTAATTCAAATTCTAAAGAATGGTTAACCATCGACATACAAGTTCGTATTGTACCCGATCAAAGAGGTGTTTCCTTTAATAAAGGTCAATATGATCAACGGTTGGGCGTGATTAGTCGTCTAGAATCACCAACTACATGTCTTGTCAACTTGGATGATTCGCAAGAACAATGTTTTATTGAACAGAAATTTTTGGAACCTGTGCAACCACAAAAGAAAGAAAAAATCAAAATGATCGCGGGGGATCTAAAAGGACAATTGGGTATTCTTGTTGGAGTGGATGGCGTGGATGGTGTTGTTAAAGTAAAAGGAGGGAAGGATTTCAAGATTGTAAATATGAGCATGATGGCTAAATATGTAGGAGAGGAGGTAGCTGAAGAATGAGCATTTATATTACTTTCATTTCTTATGCAAACATATTAATTGTCGGTTTGCAAATTTCGACCATTTGAATATAGAGCTTTAGTTTTGTGTGTATTAACATTTTTCTTGAAAATAAATATAAAGATATATAAAGCAGATACTGTATGTTAAATTATTATTGAATTTCTTATAACTATCGATTTTATTTTATTTTTTGATATAAGATATGCCGATTTATTAGAAATATAAGATTTTAATATTAAAGATTTATGTAATTTACAGAGATTCATTATGACTACTAGCATTGATACAATAGTACTATTTTAAATAAAAAAAAAGAACCCTTATGAAAATGAAACAATTTTTAGGGTAATAATGATTTTTTTTTTTTTGTAATGTTTTGAACAATAAGCCATAAGATAAACAGTAATATACACAATAAATCTTATATAACAATATTAAATTTAGTAAATGGTAAATATTCTTGACTGGTTTATACAATAGAAAATTAAATGGTTCATACAATTGTATGTAATAGTTAAAGACTTATTTTAATAATTTGAACTATAGTATATCTAGAAAAAAATTTTTAATTCTTTAAATTTTTTTAATATAAATTATATATTTAAATATTTTTAACTTTAAATTAAAAATGTTATTTAAATAAACCTGTGGGTCAATAATATAATGATTAGTGCTTTTAGATCCAGATTATACATGTTTCCTTATTACCATAAAAGAAAATTTGATTGGCAATACAATTCCAAATTAAATACAATTCTCAATTACTTACTAATTGTTACTTAATAATACAAACATAATACAGTTTTTGAAAAATGTCTAAATTAAATATGAACATATATATAATTCAGATTATAAGATACCAGTTCAATTTCAGATAAACATAGTTAAATCAAATTAAAAATAATATTTAATATTATAATTAAGTATTGTTTTTTATAAAAAGTTATTTTATATACTAATTTAACAAGTATTGAGATTATAATTTCTGAAAAGCTATAGGGATATAATAATTATATAAGTGGTATTATAAGGATTATTGAAGCAAAAAAGTAATATATTTGAATATACAGATTGAGTTATACTCCATCTTAACCAATTTCAATTAAATTTGATAATTATTTT